AGCCTCGGGCAATTCCTGGATGTCGCGCTGCAGCCCTATGTTTGGGCGGCCTATTAACTAAAAAACTATTGGTTTTCTACGGTAAAAACTTTATATGGTTCAACCAATCAACCAACAAACATTTTGGCTATCTCGGATTTTCAATTTTTGAAAAATTTGATCACGTGACCTTTTGACTATTTTTCGAAGAGTGACCTTGATATTTTCCCCACTGAAAGTTGCAATTTTGTCTGATGACAATTAAAGCCTTATAATGTCATTCATATGCGAAAATAAAAAAATGGATATCGCCCGCGTTGACCTCAGGTCAGGTCATTTTTATGACCTGTCATTATTACGAGCGGGAGCGACAGCGAGATCTCGAGAATAAAGCAAGATAGCGACAAGCGGTAAACGGTGCAGGGTACGCACGGATAAGGTCTATATATTTACTGAGGTCATTTTCAGGTCAGGTCAAAGGACGTACACAGGGAGCAAAAGGAAGTCAAAACTGCGGCACTACATATATATGAAGTTTTTCTCGAATAACTTTCAAGGTATCCCAGCTAGGAACAAACTAATAGCACCATCGTGATCCTCTCGTCGATCCGCATCGAAACATATGTATGTTGACCTCGAAAGGTCGAAAGGTCAAAAGTTGACCTTAGGTCACGTGACCTAAGGTCAACTTTTGACCTTTCGACCTTTCGAGGTCAACATACATATGTTTCGATGCGGATCGACGAGAGGATCACGATGGTGCTATTAGTTGGTTCCTAGCTGGAATACCTTGAAAGTTATTCGAGAAAAACTTCATATATATGTATTGACTTCCTTTTTGCTCCTGTGAGGTCATCTTTGACCTGACCTGAAAATGACCTCAGTAAAAATTATAGACCTTATCCGTGTGTACCCTGTCCGTTTACCGCTTGTCGCTATCTTGCTTAATTCTCGAGATCTCGCTGTCGCTCCCGCTCGTCACGTGACCTAATGTCAACTTTTGACCTTTCGACCTTTCGAGGTCAACATACATATGTTTCGATGCGGATCGACGAGAGGATCACGATGGTGCTATTAGTTTGTTCCTAGCTGGGATACCTTGAAAGTTATTATTCGAGAAAAACTTCATATATATGTAGTGCCGCAATTTTGACTTCCTTTTTGCTCCTGTGACGTCATCTTTGACCTGACCTGAAAATGACCTCAGTAAATATTATAGACATCCGTGTGTACCCTGAAGCGTTTACCGCTTGTCGCTATCTTGCTTTATTCTCGAGATCTCGCCGTCGCTCCCGCTCGTAATAATGGACAGGTCATAAAAATGACCTGACCTCAGGTCAAAGCAGGGCAATATCCACTTTTTTTATTTTCGCATATGAATGACAATTGATAAGGCTTTAATTGTCATCAGACAAAATTGCAACTTTCAGTAGGGAAAATATCAAGGTCACTCTTCGAAAAATAGGTCAAAAGGTCACGTGATCAACATTTTCAAAAATTGAAAATCCGAGATAGCCAAAATGTTTGTTGGTTGATTGTGAGTTGAACCATATAAAGTTTTTATCGTAGAAAACCAATAGTTTTTGAGTTATAGGCCGCCAAACATAGGGCTGCAGCGCGACCTCCAGGAATTGCCCGAGGCTATATCTCGGAAACCGTTGTTCGAAGAAAAAAATCCTTGGCACAGCTGGCTTCCCCGCTCATCACAACCCTTTACACCAGTTTTCAACGAAAAATAAAATATGAGGGTGCAAATTTAATTTTTTATTTGTCGATTTGTCGATCCGTCTTCGGCAGGGAATGTGTCCGCGTGGTCACCCTTTCCGCTATCGATCGGACGTGTTCACCCGCGAGTTCGGTGCTTCTGGCCGGGTGTACGACTGTGTGTGTATGTGTGTGTGTCTGCGAGTAAGTGTGCCGCACCCGGGCCATACAGTGCCTTATCGATCGGAGGGCGGTCGCCCTGACTTGAGCAGCTGAGAATGGCTCCCAGTCGGCCCCACCCGGCCTACCCCCACTCGCTGCCTAGGCTCGAAGCAGCCCCGGCCGCGCTGGGCTTTCGCCCCGCTTCCTGACCAGCCAAGCGCACTGCGTCCGGCCTTAACAGCGAGATTCCCCTCCAGACAGTGGCGTAACGCACCACCGACCCCGTTACTGAACTGCGCCGAGTGGGGAGGGTAGGGGAGCGAGGGAGCCACTCGGCCAGACTTAGCTGGAATTGACGCTGGTCACGCTGCGAACATGAGACAAGTGACTTCATACGCCCACACGGCAATAGGGAATGTCTGCCATGCCATTCACTGTTCGAAAATGTAGGTGCGTATTTTAAATGCTCCCTTTAAAAACTCATTGCAATTTGCAAAAGTTGCAATGCGGAATATTTTAAGACAGTTGAACGCTACACTAGAGGTCCAACGCCGAGCTGCTCACCACCTTAGCAACAAAGTGGAATTATTATGAATAACATTGACAATGCAACGTTTGTTAGCGACCAGGATCTCATTCTTGTCTGATGCAAATATCAGGTGGTCGCTGGATTGGTTCGAACAGACTTAGTTCGCTCCCGCTGTGTAGTCGTATACGGCTTCTGAGCCGTTCGATATCCCTATAGGGGAGGGTCCGTGTCGGTCTTTATAGCAGAACCGCAGTGAGCACTGAGCCTGTCCATGGGGTGGCATGATCTTTTTGATCAACAGTAGCTAGAAATTAGACATTTGCAATGAACGTGTTGGGTTGCTAATTTATATCCAAACCAAATTTGCAGTTGGCTCGAGTTGTCAACAAGATTTTAGTTGGTTACCATAGGCGGAAGTTTTTCAATAAAGGCTTCTAAAATAGAATGACTTGTTGCAAATAAACAAAATAGACTTCTTTAAAGTGACCTCATTTTCACATGCTTCTACATACTTCCTTAACTGCATAAGCTGAACGGTTAAAAGATGCTCCGTTTCGTGCAAAATGTATTTGCCCTCCCAATGAGCTACCTACTCAAAGAGGCATTGCAATCAAACGACAATAAATCATTTAGCAGAGAACACTTAATAATACGACATAATAGCGTGCACTGAAATTCGGTGAAAATAAAACCGACTTTTAGCAGTCACCACATAAATAGTGAAGCCCATCACACCAGAGCAGAAACGCTGCCTAAGTAAACATACGACTCTCGCTGCATAAGACCAAGATCACTGCATAAGATTCTTGACGTATTGCCAATCGCACTAGCACCATTCTCGGAAAAAAATTGTATGTGTGTAAAATTTGTGTGTACAATTTTTGCCACCAAAAATATTTCTAGCTGAGGTTACTTTGCATAGCTAGACTCACCAAAGCTAGTTCCAAACATAACATTTATTTGTTCAAGAAGGGCAATTTCCTAGCAACCAGAACAGCTCTAAAACCGACTCTAAAAAAATTGCAGCAGCTTGTGGCAGATGTCCGACGCATGATGAGAGCTGTCAGATTCTAAAACGCCTTTTGTCACATTCTCAAACATTCTTGAATGATTTCCTTAGACTTAAACTCGTTTCGCATCGTGTCCTTTAATTCAATCAAAACCATTTCTGCACCATCATAAAGCTCCTGTGCCGTTCCAGACTGCCAAAATGTCTGCCCCTTCACTCACACACCACCGCGGACTGCACCACTGCCGGAGTGTTCAGGATTTCACGGGGCCGTTGGGCTGCTGGTGGCGCACGCTGACGGGACGGGCGTGGCTCTGTCGGTACCGCTCCACTTGCTCGTGCAGCGCGTGAAACCCCTCGTCGGCAAACCGAGAGAACCGCTTGCCGACGCCCATCTGTGAGGTGCGCGCCCGCGGCACGAACCCGCTGTAGCCCGGGATGGGCAGCGGCTCCTCATCTGTGGAAAAAGGGGCCACGTGTCAGATTACGCTCTCAGTAATAATACGTTTGGGGACACGACGATTCTGTACAACTTAATTAGTGTTATGTAACAGTGTTATCATTGCAATCATATTGCCACAAGGATGCCAGGTAGATTCCGTCACGTGGGTAAAAGCACTTTAGTTCCAAACTAATAAATTGAATTCGAAGCGAACCTAGCGAACACGTGGAAGCTGTGGAAGGGACGCGATATTTCTAATGCTACCAAAGATGTCATTTTGGTATGGATGTTGATTTAATTTGGCGATGATGGCATAGAGACAGCCCTATATTTCAGGTGGAAGGTCGCTAAAAAGTAAATTGCTTTTATCTCAATCCATTCCGCCTGTCTGTATCGCAATGAGCTAAGAACGCAGCCGAACTAAACGTAAGTCTAAAACAGCTATCCATCACTCGATTATCGCCATCCAATAATGAGCGATAACGGCGGTGTTGACGTCACCGTCACGACTGCCGCTGATGACGGCTGCGGCAGCGAGAGCGACAGCAGCGGCAGCAGCTCGGAGACGCTGGAGACGGACACCCTGGAATCGTCGATCGCTGACGTCCACCCCGACCATCTGGTCGACACGCGCGTCTTCCAGGAGACGAGCAACAGCTGCCTGATCCACGCCGAGCCCTTCCCGGTGACGTTCATCGGCTTCCGACTGAAGCAGGCCAACACTGCCGTGCTGAGGGTGTACAACAAGTCGGCCACGTCGCAGCGTTTCCACATCATCCCGCCGAGTGACTCCGTGTTCACCATTCAGTACACCAAGGTACGCTACTTCGTGCCCGGCTCCACGCTCAAGATCCACATCACGTTCACGCCGCAGGAGCAGCGTTTTCACTCGGACCGTATCCTGGTGCACTGTGAGGATGAGTTCAACCTGCAGGTGCCGGTGATGGCATTTCCCAGTGTGACGTTCGCCGCGTTTCCGCGTCACATCCTGCTGCCGACGACGCCCGTCGGCCGGCGGCTGACGCACAAGATTCCGCTGCTGGTGCAGGCGGCGGTGCCGACCAGTTTTCGGGTGGAGGTGGCCGAGCCGTGCGCGGAGATGACGGTGGAACCCACCGAGGGCGCTCTGCCGACCGACGGCTCGGTGCTGCACCTGACGCTCACCTACCGGCCACGTCAGTACAGCACGGCCCGCACCACCCTGCGGCTGTTCCTCTCCGACTGCGGCGTCACGCCCGCCACGTGTACCGTGGCCGCCCGCTGCGTACCGGGGCTGAGGAGAGACAGACTGGCCGCCAAGAGGCCGCCCTCCGTCCAGCCTCGCACCAGTCCCGTCCAGCCGCCGGCCGGAGCGCTCGGGCCTAAACATGACCTCTGCTTCCTAGCGGCGGGAGACGGGCCGCCTCACGGTGAGCTCGATCTCACCACGCATGGTGACGTGGCCAAACTGCTGCTGCAGAAGTTCGCTGCCAGTGTAGTGGTCCAACAGACCTTCCTCGAACGATCAGAGAGCTCGCTGGCTGCGGCTAACCGCGAGCAGGCGCGCCGCTTCAGCCGCGCCGGCCTTCAGCGGGCCACACGACTGGCCGAGAGGACAGAAGTCCGCCGCGGACAGCGACCGCTAACCACGCTCGAGAGGAACGCCATCCTGACGGAGCGGGGCCACCTCTGGGAACAGTACGGCAGGATGGTCAGCCAGACGACCGCGGCGCCGCCGCACTCCGGCCTACCAGTCGTACATCTCGTCAACAAGAAACTTCTGCGGGACGCCGACCAGCCGGCGCTCTGGCGGCATCCTACATACGACGTCTACCTGAACCGGCCGTGGCCGTTCCGCCTGGCGGCTCTGGAGAGGTTCGTGCAGGCGGCGCGTACGGTGGTGCTGCGGTGTCGAGCTGAGAACCGTCTGCTACGACTCCGTCCTCTGGTGGAGGAGGTGCGGGCCGAGAGAGAGGAGGAGCGGAACAGGGCAGAGCAGCAGGAGGAGGAGCAGGAGCGAGAGCTGACCGATGCAGAGTGGAAGGAGATCCTGGATCAGGGGAGAAAGGAGGATGACAAGGAGGACGAGGAGGAGGACGAGAAGAAGAGGATCGAGAGTAAAATGAGTGAGGAGAAGGCGGGCGATAGTGCATTGGAAGATAACAGCAAACGGATGAATGAGAGTGAGACGGAAGTTAGAGAAGGAGACAAACATGATGAATAATTTCAAATGAGTCGGAATATTTTCGCACTGAATGCTCTTCCCTTCTACACACGTTACTACAAGCATGCCGAAATGCAGAACCAGAAGCTATTCCCGACCTGTCCCAAGTTTCAAAGTTATGCAAGCGGAGTGGAGTGGTGCCACGCAACGTTCCGTGATTCGTGTGACGCTGAGTGAATTGTTTTTGATTACGTTGTGGTCTCGCCTAATAAAAAATAAACCTTAACCCTATTCCTGGCGGGCTCCGCCGGGACAAGAAACTGGCGGGGGGGGGGCCGATTCGGCCCCCCCCCCTGAGATCTCGAGAACGAAGCAAGATAGCGACAAACGGTAAACGGCATCGGATACGCACGGTCAAGATCTACAATTTTTACTAAGGTCATTTTCAGATCAAGTCAAAGATGACGTCACAGGGGTCGAAAAAGTCAAAATGGCGGCGCTAGATATGGAGAGAGTTTTTCTCGAATAACTTTCGAATTAGTCAAGATATGAACAAACTAAGGGCATCATCGTGATCCTCTCGTCAATCCGCATCGATTGATATATATATGTTGACCTCGCAAGGTCAAGGTCAAAGGTTGACCTCAGGTCACGTGACCTTGAGGTCATCATGTATATCATTCGATGCGTCTTGACGAGCTGAACACAATGAGACCATCCACGCGTCTGTATCTTGTTCCTGTACGGAGTTATTGGCCAAAAACCTTTGGTGACCTTTGATGACGTCACATGACCTCACAGCTGCCCAACAGCAAAACAGACCTCAAGGTAGTGAAGGTTGATCGTATATGAAGTCATGTATGGTATATGGGGCCATTCCGACCCGTTTTAGTGGTAAAAACAGGGAGTTGATTTTTCCCCCATTGACTTATAATGGGGAGGTCGCGAAACTGACCTGACCTTAGGTCACCGATATCAAAATTCCGAGATATACAAATTGCACATACTGGTACCCTAACTAAAGCCTGAAGAGAAGAAATTGATCGGTCAAAAACTCTAGCTCTGGCGTGATTGCAAACTTTTCTGAGGTAGGGTCACCAAACCGCCTCTGGTGACCTGACCTGAGGTCAGATCAACTCAAAATTTTCAGACATGTTGCGTAGAAGCCTTTAAGGAAAAGTCAGAAAATTTGAGCTTCCTAGCTCAACGCATTTGGGAGAAATAACCAAAAAACCTCAGGGGGGGCTCCTGAGGCCCCCCGCCAGGAATAAGGTTAATATTTCATATGCACGGTAGGCATTAGGAAAAGTAAACGCGACATACAAACAACGAGAACTAAGAGTATAGATAGATCATTAGAAGGTCGAACGACCTATAGAGGCACGCACGTTTGAGGACCGTAAACTCATTTCACCTGGTTGAAGTTCAGACCAATGCCACCCGGGCGATTCTCACCTTTGCTATGAGCCGAGTAGCGGCTGAACTTGGCGTCCAGAGCACTGCTGACGGCGCCGTTGCTCAGGGCGGGGGCGGGGGCGGTGGGGGCGGGGGCGGCGGCGCCCGTCTCGCGGACCGCCCGCCGACTGGCCGAGGTCCTGCCGAGCGAGCGGCTGCGGCGCGCGTGCTCCTCGCGCTCCCGACGCTCGGCAGTTCGCCGCTCCATGTCGCTGAAGCAGTCGTCGCAGGCCTTGCGGTAGTTGGTGCCGACCACATACCGGCTTCCCGGAACGAAACCTGTAGCGAAAAAGGGACGCTAGATAAGGTAGATAAGACAAAGTAGCTACTAACGGTAAATGCGGGCAGAAATTTAGTAACAGCCTGCAGGCGACATTAGAATGACCCAAATGTTTCTGTTCTGATGAATGGATGGCGGGTTATAATACAAGTGGCTGCATGCGATACCTCGTACCTGCATTGATGTGTTTCCAGAGCAATAAACGACAATGTGCATTGTGCATTATGCATTGTTTCTAAAGTCACGGAAACCTCTAATCACACAATAGTCATTAGTGGGTGAATGAAAATGGAAAACGACCCTTTTATTATTGTGATACCTTGCTGTGCCTAATAAAATTGTCCAGTTATGTCAAATTCTCAATTGTATTGATTCCCTGCGTTTGAGCTCTCTCTCTCTCTCTCTCTCTCTCTCTCTCTCTCTCTCTCTCTCTCTCTCTCTCTCTCTCTCTCTCTCTCTCTCTCTCTCTCTCTCCTCTCTCTCTCTCTCTCTCTCTCTCTCTCTCTCTCTCTCTCTCTCTCTCTCTCTCTCTCTCTCTCTCTCTCTCTCTCTCTCTCTCTCTTTCTTTCTCCATGTTCGCTTCTGTTCTCCACGACATCTTCCCACTACAAATCACCCGTAACTGTCCCATGACGTGTAGCTTGACCTATTGGACATGTCGGTCGGACAGACGGACACCGTGGGCACTGGGCAGCCAAACATTGATCCGATACTGTCTGGCCCAATATGACTGGCACTGTGTGTTGTGTGTTGTGTGTATTTGTGTTTTGCGCGTCAGTTTGTATGTAGGGCTCGGTGTGTCTGTGTATGTTGGCAGCAACCACGGCCGGCTGTCCCAGACTAGTGACATTTGCAGCAGGGGCCTGGCGCAGCTGGAAATGGAGATCGATAGGCTGCATAAAGCATAAGGATACTAAAGGGCTCAACACTCAACAGTGAAGGCCGAACAATCAACAGGGATTGTAATCATTGCATTGTTGCGACAATTGACAAGGTGAAAAGTTGTTCTCACCTGAGCAGCTCATGCCGATGGCAAGAAATCGATATCACAAAAACTGTTTATCACAGACAAAGATTTATACCTATATCATCAAGTTTATCTCCTGCGCTCCCATTCACGTCTCCGCACATCTGCACCGGCTCAGCGGCACAGTCCGCCGTTCCCGGCTCCGTGTCCGTCCCAGAGGCGTGTCTCTTCTCTCGATATCGTGACGGGATCTCTCCCACGCGCGCGGTCCGTCCGACCGCGGTCGGCCCTTCTCACGGAGATGTGAACCGTGACGGGACCGGCCAGACTCACGGAGTCGTGCTGTCTCGCCTGCCTCCGTTCGCGCTACCGGGAGAGTGGTCGAGTCCGGCTGGACCTAGCGTCCATCCGGGGAGTAGGTAATCGACCCGCGGGGTACTTGGAGTGGGCCACTGTTTGCAGAGAATACAGCGGGATAGAGTGCAGTGTCTGCTGAGGAAAGTGCTGCCCCGCGCGGCTGGTCATGCGGCGCTGCAGGCCGGCACGGACGGTGGCCGGCCGTAGCAGGGTGGGTGTGGGTCTGCACCGGTCCGTGTCTGGAGCAAAACAGAGCTGAGTAGGGGTCGGCGTCTCGGCGATGACGTCATGCCACTGACCTGTGTAGCCGGCGATGCCGCCTCGGGGTGACATAGGTTTCGGCGGTGCTCGGGTCACCGAGGTCACCTCTCGGGCCCGGTCGACGACATCGACGGGCGCCGACTGGAGGTCCGCACCGCGAGGGGTCACTGTCACGTGACCCACATGAGTGCGGCTCACCTGCCGAGGGGCATACGCAGGTCATACATGGAGTCACATCAGGTCAGCAAGAGCAAGGTCTACATAAGCAGTCCACTTTATACCGGATAAGTGAGAGAGGCATATGGTAATTTGTAAGAATTAGCAATAGAGTATCGGTTCAACGTTAATCATAAAGAAACATTTGAGGTGGTGAAAATTCGCGGCAGTGCTTTACTCGACGTGATTCTAGAGCATAAAACTTTTACGGCGAACGTTCAACTGAAAATTTCTCAACTTCCAACAAACAACAGTTATGATACACAGCATTTTAATCATCCCGAGTGGCAAATCTGGTCCCCAGTTAATGGTTATTGTTGGATGAAGCATTCTGCGTAAATCTGCGGCCTCCCCAAAGAACATAAAGCCTACCGCGCTGTCATTTGTGCGGACTGCGGAGCTTTTAACTGGATTGGGCGGCACAGTTTTAATGCTGCTGCCTGTGTCTCTGTCGTTCGCGCCCGGCCCAATTTGACCGAGGTGTCCTTCAGTGCCAGGCATGGACTGGAACCATTTGTCAATGCAGCCACTCGACAGGACAGAAACTCTGTGGTCAGTGGCGTGCCGCGTGCGAAATTGTTCCGACTAGCTATGGCCCATGGTGCATGCGGTTACGGGACGGGTCAGGCAAAAATGTGGGCGGGCCGATAATTAGAGCATAGCTTGACAACGGAGACAAAAATGAAACGATTATGATATATGACAGTGCATTTGATCAAATTTGATTTGACTACTTAGTCATCATATGATATGCATGATATTGGAAAAACATATTTGATACTTCCTTCTGAGTCTGCTACCCTTCCCATGCAGCTATCCTCTCTCCAGTATAAACAGTCAAAACAAGCATTTCACTCAACCATGATTGCCTGTACATATTGATTCAAGAATGAAAATTATACAATCTCAGCCTAACAAAGCTTGGTCAACCGGCCGAGCCTGCAACGTAATCGCCACGCAATTTGAGAATGTGGATCGCTCGTGATTGTACAATAGGTAAAGTTTATCCATTTATCACATTTTCCCTTCGCAATGCTCCTTCACACCGAAAAGCATTATACATCGGCTCTTCTTCCGTCGGCCTGACTTGTCACGCTACCTTCGTGCAGATCGTCACTTCCCACCTCCGGACATCCACCAGCTAGCCAGCTGTGAGTACTGACAGCAGCCACCAAGTAGTCACCCCGTCCGGCATTTAACGAGACGCCCGGCAGACAGGCGGGCAGACACCAGACAGGATGAGAGACACCCGGCAGACAGGTCGGACAGACAGGGCTCGCAGACATTGATACGGGTGCCCGAACACCCTGACGCTCTGGTCGGTAGCTCGAGCGACAGGCCGCACCTGGTTCCGGTCACGTTCGAGACACAAGTGTGCCACGCCGCAGCCCGCACCACGGCTGGGGAGCGGAGAGGGTGGGCACGGGGGTAGCTGGTCCCCGCTGCCCACTCCCCACGGCACGGGCACGACTCATGGGCCCGAAGTACTGTGAGATGTCAGGCTTGGTGACGGATAGTGGCGAGGAGTAGTCAGTAGGTATTACCAATTTTTTTTTTGGTTAGGCCCTTTCGGTCCAATGAGACCATTTCAGAGCCGCGGGAGGATGATAGGATATAGGGGGAGACATTTGGTCTGGGCAGGCACCCTAGTGAGTCGCCGGGGCTGAGCCCGTCCAGAGGACAGGCCACCCAGCCCCAAGGCACTCACTGCACCCGGCTACGGGGTGCGCTCCCTTAGGAGCAGCGGTGCCGCTCCAAGGGAGCAGCCCGCATGAGATAAAGTTGCCTGTCCAGCCCGGAGGGGGGTTGCGGCGTGGAGGAGAAGGATTTCAGTATCCTGAGGATAGAAACACGGAACGGTTGTATTACCAACCATCGTGAGGCAACTGCGTTTGACTAATGGTAGGAGTCCGAAGTTATTAACTAACCAATTGAATAATGTAGTTAACGTTTTTTTTTTTTTGCTGATAAAAGGCGCAGGAGGCATGTGCTACAGATTTCCGAACACAGTGACTGAGAGAGAGAGAGGGGGGAGGGGGCGAGAAAGAGAAAGAAAGAAAGAGAAAAAAGAGAAAGAAAGAGAAAGAAGAGGAGGAGGAGGAGCAGGAGGAGGAGATAAATTTGGCATCGGTGTACTGTCGGTTAAAAATCGACACTTAACTGGAGTCAAGAAAGTCGCTTTAGCAAAGTCTGGTGGAGTGATTGCAGCTTAGTTGGCAAAGTAGCTGTAAGCCCGTCTGTAATCTCATTGGCTATGACAGCATTAGAGTTTCAAGTTGGACATTATGCCGCATCAAGCTGTGGGATAGGCTGGATCAGTTTGCGATTGCAAAGGCAGTCCACTGGTCAACCAGCGGTCACTGGTTTCTGCTCCGCCCCTCCCTTCCCCAGCCCCTCGCGTCACCGCGCCGGAGACCAGCGGAGCTGATCGGATCGGACTGCGGCGATTGTGGCGCTCCACCGCGGCGTTAGTGGCGCTCCACCGCGGCATTTGCAGCGCTCCACTGCGCCACTGTTAGTCACGGATGGTGCTCCGGGGTGTCATAACCGACCGATCACTCCCCAACTCCAGTCCGGGGAGGAAACTTACAGTCTTCAACCCTCTCCAGACTTGACGCCCTAACTCTGATCGACCCTGCTTCTAAGAAGCTCTCCCGGTCCCCTCGCTGGCGCGTGGCTATACAGATAGGCACTCCCGAGGCTGGTCCCTCATCGGTCATCTTCCCCCAGTCATACATCACCAGAGACGTAAATATTGAATGGTAATCTAACGTATCGGTTTCCGTGATCTAATGGTATTTGGCGAGCACGGGCAGAAATCGTGTGCACCTCACTAGACAGCGATTTTTGGACTGCATTGCACATAATGCATGTATGTGCGCTAGAGCACTTCACGGATAGGCTTTTTAGGATCCGGCCCGGCCCATATCCGGCAAGTCATATCCAGATCCGCCCATTATCCGCCTTTCTTTGAATATCAGAATCCGGCCCACCCATGGCCCATATTGCAGCCAAACTTCCAAAAAATATCCGTAATAATCCGTTTCACCAATAACTGGTTTCACCCAAAACTGGACTAACAAATTCAATCTAAGGGACCAGACAGCCATACATCTCATAGACCTTCATGGTTCCAAAAACCATGCATACATTGCATAGATTATCCACTTGAAGACAAGTCTTGTGACAAGTGAGTGTCATAAAATGATGCCTATTACTTTAATCAAACCTCTGCTGCCGCTTAACACATTAGGTTAATTTTTAACTTCAATGTTGAATGTTAAAATTTTGATCCGTTTTGATCCGGGTTCAATCTTCAATTCCCAAATCCGGCCCGCCCATATCCGTTCTTTTTTAACAAATTTAGAATCCAATCCTATCCGGTCCGCGGATTTATCGGTGGATAACGGATTTATCCGGCCCATGAAGTGCTCTAATGTGCGCTTGTTTATGTGCATATGTAGGTGTTTTCCTAGCACACAGCACGCACGAAGAGCTAGGTATCCACCAAGATTACTTTATTACTAGCTCGGTCTCCACTGCCCCGCCCCCCCCCCCCCTCCCCCCACACAGACACCACTGCACCTGTCTGTCCGAGCGGCCAGCCGCCTCGCCGAACATTACCTGTGGTCGGTGTTGAACCAGCCAGGCGTACGAGTGGCCCACATCGAACTTAAGTCCCGGACAGTGGCCAGTGTACCTGAAATACAGGCACTGATCAGTCAGCTACCCACAGCGGAAACAGACGAAATCGACACAGGAGAGCTGGCAGAGTGCGTTGGAGCAGGCATCCCGCATGCAGCTTTGGAGGTGGCAAGGATTGGGAGAGTGGTAAGGTCTTGTCTGCTGTGTTTCGCTGTGTCAATAGAAACGTTGGTCGTTTGTTTTTGACTGCACAGTGAACACGAAGTCGATAGGTTAGCTTCCCAAACACTTCACTGAATTTCAGTTCCTGCAATTGTAAGCCATGACCGCAGAGCTCGCCTGTACAAACAAACTATGCTCGTGGATTTGGAAGGCAATTGGCAAATATGACGAGTGTGCGGGAACATTTGTTTTCTGGTTTTGAACAATGATGTCTGCTTATTTACGGCAGAATCATGCACGATATGTGATAACAAATACAATGAAACAATCTTCTCTCCACATACTAAACATATGTATCTGTTCGTTGCACTAAGTTTTGCTAACCAAATGGAACAAAAAATAGAATAGGTAGTTATAAAATAAAACACATGTTCAAATAAGTTTCAAACTTTTGTATTGAACATAATAACACTACGATCATTCCAACATTTGGTTATACTCAGCGATATTATTCACCCTCATTTTGAATGCGTGTTCCTCCCAGTCTCTACAGCACCTTCTTCCCCTCTATCGGTCTGTGTTGTGCTGCCAAGGCTCGATCGTGGTTGCGTGTTGTGGGCCAGCACGGCCCGTGGGTCCGATCGGTGTACGTCACGTCACCCGCCCCGTGACACGCGTCGGCGTTCAACCACCTGATCACGAAGTGGCTGCGTCGCGTCGGCCGCGCTATAGGTCGTCGGCAAGGAACGGGCGGGTCGCTAGGACGTCGACAAGGCCGGCGGCAGCGGACCGAACTGAGCACGGATCGATCTATGGATCGTACCCGAAACCAGGACCGTCGGGTTGCCGTCGCCACACAGGCCGTCGCTGTGGTGGTCGGCTGTCGGGTGGGGCAGCGAAGGACGGGGAGGGAGGGTGCAGGGAGGGTTGACCATGTTGCACGTTGCACTAATCCGTTCAGTATTTGAAGCTCCTGTACGGCATGTGCTTAATGACGTTACGTCGCGTGATTATCGCATCACCATGCCTACCGGGTAGGTCGTGTGGAGCTTGGAACACAAGGAATGAGGTCAACGTTATTAACAATGGATGAGCATGGTCGATAAAACGTGAAACTATGTTAGGCGAATTTCCGGAAGCGTAGGCATTTAGTGTTACACCGGAAGTAAAATGCTGTGAACATTACAATCTCTAAGGTATAGGCTGTTTATTGCAAGTTTTTTTTTTTGCCCATGTGCAGCTAGGTAATGTTGAAGATGAGTGCTCATAAACTATTTTAGTTCATTCGTCTAGATTGACTGTCCTGCACGTGACGTGAACATATAAAGGTAGGTAGATAGTATGTTTATCTGGTATTTTACAAAATTATGGAAATAAACAATTAGTGGGTACCTTATAAGCGGAGATAAAACGACGGATATAAACAATAATGTACCGACTGGTATTGCGTGAAACTGCAGGCAGAAATGTCGCTATTCAAAGTGCATGGAGCCTATGTTCATTTCCACAAAGGGCATAAAACCGCATAGGATTATAGGTGAACAGTATTGCCGCCCCAATTATGCCATCAGCCAGCCGAATGTTGATAACTGGTATATAGCGGATGCAGTACCGCACTGCACGGCTGTGCTGCGGCACAGTCTATCCATCAGTGATGCTCAGACGGACAGCGGCGAGGGGTTGTTACAGATTTACTTGTGCACCGACACCGAGCTGTGTGAAATGTCGAATCTGGGAACAGTTACAAATCGATGAAGTAGGATGACACAACATTTGACCCGGCCTACAATTATCGCATGAAGCCTACAGCTTCAAAGACGCATTCAATGTTCATGCCAACCATGCCCAGCCGCTTAGCAGGAGAGCTGTAGGTACTCTGAAAATAAAAACCCAACAGCAAGGCTTATGACGGCATCGAAACAATAAAACACTATTTATCGTCATAGTGAATAAATGCCATTTAACTATGTGACATTTTCATTTGCTATTTACTATCGTAAGGTAAGCAAGGCGAAATTTTGCTTTGAATATTAAGCATGTTCGCATCGATTTATGTGCATCACCGGTAGCATTTTGGAAATGCTGTAATGACCTAAATGGGCTTGCCATCTCACAGAGCTCCGTCCCATCTCCACTTGACACGACCTTGTACCGTGTGCGTATAATACCGTCACTCAATCAAAGGGGTCTTTCATTGTGCACCATTTTCCGGGGAGCTAGGCGCAGTGTGACGACTGACGTATACCGGGCGCATTGTCGGTGCAGCAGCCGCTCATCCCACCCTGTTTTGTGACTGTGTCTCGGCACAGCAGGACGAATGTGGAGCGATGAAATAGTGGTTGGGTGAGTGTGATGTTACAGTGTTCGCTGGGCACAGCTTGACTGCAATGTCGGTGTTCGGTCCCCCCCCCCTCCCCTTCCCCACACACACTATTAACCCTATATTTCACATGGGCCCCCCATGTGCGTTCTAGGATGGGAAAATGGCATGTGCGGACGAGGGTGTCATGGAGAGATGGGGTATCAATTAAAACCGCCGAAACACAATGTCAGTGCAGCAGTGAACCCCACCCTTCCGTGACGCATCGTGTCACTCGCTGTGGTGTCAGAGCAGAGGCCAGAGACAGAGGCAGTGAACCCCACCCTCCCGTGACGTGACCGTGTCACTCACTGCGGTGTCACGGTCCGCCGACCCCCGCACAACGCGCGGCCCTGACACGGTGCGGCCTGCGCCGACCGCCGCGCTGTTAGCTCCGGTGGGTGGGGCACTCAACTATGGGCGGTTCGCGGCTGCTGAGTGGGGAGATGTTGAACAAAACAGTGGGGTGGTTCGGAATGGGAGCGTTACGTTGGTGGCTGGTGGCCGGTACCTATCCCATCTGCATTGGTGTATTTAGTATGACGTGAAGTAAAACAATGCACGGGTAAGCAAACAATGTATGTATAGCCTGCCATTCATAAATTTCTTAAGTAGATTTAGCTCTCGGGGGGCTTTCTACTCTGTTGACATTTGATATGACAGTTAAAGAGCAGCCGGGCTCCATAATAATCAAATAAGCATTCAACTTTTAACCATTTAACTGGACCTGCAAAAGGTCGGCAAGGCACGTTCGAGACAGAAAGGTCACATCACAAGTGAACATCGCATTACAGAGCATGACCGTCGTGGCTGCAGAAGTGCAAAATCACACAACAGTGGCCACTGTCAGGAGCCCTTACCCTGAGATCATGTCCGAGGCTGGGGTCCATTCAGCACTATGCAGTGTCGCGCGATGCACAATTGTACTGGCCGCGTATCGTGACTCGCTAAGACCGTAAGGCTGAGCGGCGGGTCAGTGGAGCGGTGTCGCGGTGCAGCGTCGCTGACCACTCACGGTGCAGTGTCGCGGTGTGTCGTCGGCGTTGCACGACGTTCACTTACCCTGGTATCGGGCAGCGGCCGGCCGACATCGACGAAGACTGGCGCCGTTCTGCGCACGGCCCGGCGCCTCCCGCCCCGCCCCGCCCCGCCCCGCCCCCGCGACCCCGGCTGACGGTCATGCGCCGCTGAACCGACGACAGAGACATCTAGGTAGCGGGCGCAACAGGCCTGACATCTGTGATCTGCTAGATATACCACAGCATTAGTGTTTGTCCCACCATGAATGCACTGAACTCTGTAGAGCTTGTCCTGTGTCCAAGCAATCATCTTGTGTTCGAGCAATCGACCTTGGTGTCAATTTCCATGGAACGTATTAATAAAAAGCTGAAAAAACGCATCACTTTGGCCATGAGAGAAAACTTATTATGCCTATTAGGGCCAGGGGAGAGTGGGGTAGGGGAGAGTGGGGAAAGATGCCCAGGGTTTTACTTTGTCATATACACCTTTTTGCACTCAAAATAGGCATCTTTTCATTCAATTTCGGCGAATTGCATTCAATTTTAGCGATCTCTCATTTGCTTTGAATAGAGAGATCGCTAAAATTGAATGCAATTCGCCGAAATTGAATGAAAAGATGCCTATTTTGAGTGCAAAAAGGTGTATTATTCGAAAATGACGGTCGGAAAGCAAAAACTTGGAGTTTCAACGGAAGCCGACATCATTTTTCTCCAAAAATATCACACTTTCGTGCCTGAATTATGATAACTTTTTTTTGCTATTAAGCATTTTCCTGAAGAAGTGAAAGGGGGCATCTTACCCCACAGGGTGGGAAAGACGCCCCCTGGCGTTGGGGAAGATGCCCCCCTGCACTAAAAGTGACATAAATGGGCACGTGAATCGCCTGAACGATCAGTAGTCCCTTGAGCCTGCAGTAGACACCAAACGTCATCGCAAGGGCCCTCAAAAGTAGTCGTAAGGGGCTTCAGAGGTCATCGTCAGGGCCATCATAGTTCAGCGCGGCCAAACAAGCCCTCGTGGTGGCGTTCGGAGACCGCTGTGGGGCCCTTATAGGTCTTCATGATGCTTGAGGGGCCATCGTGGGGACCTCAGATGCCAGCGCGGCCCGTGGAGCCAACGTGGGAGCCCTCAAAGGATGTCGTGAGGGGCGTTGGAGCCAATAATGGGGCCCACAGAGGCCGTCGTGAGGGCTCTCAGAGTCAGATGCCGCCCAAAAAGTCGCTGTGTGGGCCGAGAGATCGGCATGGGGAGCACCCGACCGTACTGGACTCTCAATAGTCCCAGATAGGCTTTTGTCTCTCATCACAAGTATGTAATAAATGATTTGACGGGTTCCTTGAAGGCCAGCCTACGGATTTAGGGGGGCGTCTTTCCCCATCAGAACAGGGGGCATCTTACCCCAAGGTACCGAATTAACATTAAATCATTACAATTTGTTAGCCATAAAACTACACCCTGAAACAAACTGTTTGGGACACAGTACACGCATGTTCATGTATCACGATCATAGCAAGGGACATAAAAATTATTTACCTTCTTTGATATTCACAATGTTTTGACACCAAAATATTTTTTTGAAAGAAGCAAATAAAAAACATGCAATCACCAGCCAGCCGTTGCCCAACTGAGCTTCGCAAATTTTTGTGCAGTTAACAAGGCAGGCTTCCGCTTTACGCTAAGAACATTAATTTCCAGGTTCGATTCTTCGTTTCGCCGCTAGAGGGGGTGGGGCGTCTTTCCCACCCTGGGCATCTTACCCCACTCTCCCCTAAGATGCCCAGGGTGGGAAAGACGCCCCACCCCCTCTAGCGGGGAAACAAAGAATCGAGCCTGGAAATTAATGTTCTTAGCGTAAAGCAGAAGCCTGCCTTGTTAACCGCACAAAAATTTGCGAAGCTCAGTTGGGCGACGGCTGGCTGGTGATTGCATGTTTTTTATTTGCTACTTTCAAAAAATATTTTGGCGTCAAAACATTGTAAATATCAAAAAAGGTAGATAATTTTGGCGTCCCTTGCTATAGTCGTGATACATTAACATGCGTGTACTGTGTCCCAAACAGTTTGTTTCAGGGTGTAGTTTTATGGCTAACAAATTGTGCTGATTTAATGTTACTTCGGTACCTTGGGGTAAGATGCCCCCTGTCCTGATGGGGAAAGACGCCCCCCTAAATCCGTAGGCTGTCCTTCAAGCAGCCCGTCAAATCATTTATTACATATTTGTGATGAGAGACAAAAGCCGATCTGGGACTATTGAGAGTCCGGTACGGTCGGGTGCTCCCCATGCCGGTCTCTCGGCCCACACAGCGACTTTTTGGGCGGCATCTGACTCTGAGAGTCCTCACGACGGCCTCTGTGGGCCCCATTATTGGTTCTAGGGCCCCTCACAACATCCTTTGAGGGCTCCCACGTTGGCTCCACGGGCCGCGCTGGCATCTGAGGTCCCCACGATGGGCTCGAGGGCCCTCAAGCATCATGAAGACCTATAAGGGCCCCACAGTGGTCTCCGAACGCCACCACGGAGGCTTGTTTGGCCACGCTGGACTATGATGGCCCTAACGATGACCTCTGAAGCCCCTTACGACTACTTTTGAGGGCCCTTACGATGACGTTTGGTGTCTATTGCAGGCTCGAAGGGACTACTGATTCGTTCAGGCGATTCACGTGCCTATTTATGTCACTTTTAGTGCAGGGGGCATCTTACCAAGCGCCAGGGGGCGTCTTTTCCACCCTGTGGGGTAAGATGCCCCCTTTCACTTCTTCAGGAAAATGCTTAATAGCAAAAAAGTTTTCGTATTTCAGGCACGAAAGTGTGATATTTTTGGAGAGAAATGATGTCGGCACTCGGCTTCCGTTGAAACTCCAAGTTTTAGCTTTCCGATCGTCATTTTCGAATAATATATGACATAGTCAAACCCTGGGCATCTTTCCCCACTCTCCCCTACTTAGGTACGTCTAACTTCGGAACCGTCGTGCCAATCGGCTGTCTGCCTCAGTACTTGGGATTCTTCAGGACCTGTTTACGCTACGCTCTCCAGTGTCAGTTTACCACTCGTTTTTTTTTCTGAATGTCGCTACTGCACGCTCTTAACATTTATTTTCAATACACATTCTCAGTCACCTGGACACGCTCTGGCTCCAACAGCAGATAAAATATTCCGTCACGACACACACGAAAATACAGTTGTTTAAAAGCTACTGATTAATCTTAACGTGAATGAAAAAAAAAACAGAAGAGCTGCTTATGCATCCCGTTGTCTAACAGCACATATCAAGAGCATCAAAGAAGTCACACTAAATAAATCGTACGTGCCTTACAAGCCATGCATTTCAGCATACCAAAACTGAATACTGGACAGCTCTAAGCCTCATTCTGTCTTCACAAATAGCCGACACATCAAACTCGGGCGGCTGAGATCACAGAGCAAATACAAACACACATATGTGCACACTGAGGTCCACCAAACGGAAACAGACTCGACGCCGTTTCTGAAAGATTCGTCTTTCCATAACTGCATCAGTCCACCTGCCAAGACCACGACTTTTCACCGGCTCTCGGATCGGTCTGTGATATTCCGATAGTCTTGGCAGATATTTCACCGCTGGCTTTGTTCAGGTGTTTCCTCTGGGCTCTTGGTCAGCTATCCCAGAGTCATATGAGGCCTGCTTTCTGTGCCCGCTCGGCGGTCTCAGCTTGTCCAGCTGGCGCAGCGACAGAGGCGACGTCTGGCGGAGCGACGGTGGCGACATCTCGGAAAAGGACCGGCTGGCGGTCAGTCGGCTGGCCCCGTCACCGGCGACCAGCTCGGCTGTCAGCTGCGGCTGAGACCGGTACTTGGTCTTCAGGAGCTGAAACGTGTATAAAAATAACGGGTTAGTAACTACCGTTCGTTACAATGCCTCATACAAAAAAGGACAATTTTGAAAGCGCATTCCATTAAATCAGTCTGGCACAAAACTATGGCTCTGATTACGAGCGAGCGAGCGCAGCGAGCGAAGTGAGCCTTTTCAATATAACGGAAAAATGTCAGCGGCCCGGCCCGGCCCGGCCCGGCCTGTAACGCTTTTGAGAGGCTTATATCTCAGCAACCGCTGGACCGATTGGCCTGCGGTCTTTTTTGTTGGGTAGCCTCATCCCTTCTACCCCGTAATTGACTACTTTTGATACATCTCAGTGACCGTCGTGGCACGTGCCACGTGAAAAGTCAAGGGTGTTCAAGCTGTTTTGCAAAAGTAGTGGTTTTGAGAAGCTCATATCTCAGCAGCCGCTTGGGTGATTGGCTTGCGGTAATTTTTGTAGGGTAGCAGCATCCCTTCTACCAAAAATAGGATGCTCTTGATGCATGTGGGTCACCCCCAGTGCACGTGCAAAATACAACAATAAGAGGTGTCAAATTTGTTCCCATTTTAATAGCTCGGTAATTACTGGGGCGATTTCGCTGAAACTTGGCATGCAGGTAGGCACCCACCAGACAATGTATTCCCATGTGTTGCGGTTAAGGTGCTACTGCACGTGCGCACGTGCAGGGGGCGCTTCCAGATCTCGAGAACGGCTGGGCCGATTGCGCTCAAATTTGGTACACGGTTGGGGACCAGTTAGTAGGGTGCCTTGCAAAAGTCAGTTTGGACCCCGTTCGCACGTGCACACGTGCAGAATGCCGCTTCCAGATCTCAGGAGCGGCTGGGCCGATTGTGTTCAAATTTGGTACACCGCTAGCGACCGGTTAGAAGGGTGCTTTGCGCAAGCCCGTTGGAAGTACCCTCTCGCCCTTCCGCACGTGCAGGTCTCACTGTCTCGCTCGCTCGTTCTTCGCCCAAAAGGCGTTTTACTGGTAATTAAAGTTTTGTTTGTTGGGTTAACATTAGGTCCTCTTGGTCTCTGGATTATTTTAGGGCCATGTGGTGGCAGAGTAAGAGAAATAAATTAGGGCTATGTGACTGCATTCCTGCATCTGTGCCAGTCCTTGTCGGATGGGCAGCTCACGGTTGGTCAGATCAAACAGACGCTAGAACGATTAACGGAAAGTTATGAAGCAGTAATAGACAGCAATGCATTTCCTGATTCATATAATCGGTCATCGCTCATTTAAAGACAGCAAAGTATACTTAGTATTTTTACCAATGTACAGTCTGTCTTAAAAGTACCGCGCAAAGTGGCGGTGGATCCATCAAGCCTGACCGAGAAAGGGCCTGTTTTAATTTAAGTCACCGACCAATTGACCTAGGGAATGGACAAGGATGTCAATTGCTTCGGTGACCCAAATTTAGCAGGCCCTTGCTCAGTCAGGCTCGATGGATCCACCGTCACTTTGCGCGGTACTTTTAAGACAGACTGTACAACAACCGGAAAACATATCTATCTAGTATTGTTTAAGACATGAATTTATTTGCTTCAAATTGTGAATAGAAACGTTATTGAACTCCTGTTGAAAACGATAAGGACGGCAAGAGCCAAGAGTAGGTATCCATAGTCTGTGGCCCGCCCACCATGTAGTTGCCGGAGTTTGCCGACAGATGGCTCTGACGTCCGGAGCTGGTCGAGGACAGGGTCGAGCTGGGCGAGCAGGTCTCCTCGTCGGCCAGCTCGGGCAGAGAGCTGAGCGAGGAGGCAGATGAGAGCGACATCGTGTCGGCTCTCTTCAGCGCCTCGATTGAGTCGTTCAGCGCCAGGAGTTGGCGGAACAGCGCGTCGTCCTGGTGCATCAGAGACCACTGCGAACGGAGGGGGGAGAGGGGGGTCAGCGACCACTGCAAACAGAGGGAGGGAGAGGCGTCAGCGACCACTGCAAACGGAGGGGGAAGGTCAGGGACCAGTGCGAACGGAGGGGGAGAGAGGTCAGTGACCACTGCGAACGGAGGGAGGGAGGGGGGGGGTGTCAGTGACCACTGCAAAGGGAGGGGGGAGAGGCACCACAGTCAGCGACCACTGCGAACGGAGGGGGGGGGGGAGAGACGTCAGCGATCATTGTAAACAATTGGATAGAAGTCAGCGAAGTCAGCGACCACTGAAAATAGAAGGGAGGGAGGGACCTCGGCGACCATTGTAAGCTGAAAAACGACATCACCGAACACTGGAATCGGAGAGCTGCAGAGACATCAGCGAATACTATGCAGATGAAGGGACATCACATATACCAACAAGAACAGAGGGAGGGAGGGCCGTCAGGGACCCTGGCAAACCGAAGGAGGAGCGTCAGCAAACTATAAAAAAGGGTCAGGGAGCACATCAGCCACCAAAGAAAACGGACTTCAAAACGTTTAGTGACATTAATGGTAAACCAAGCATTTAGGTTTTCATGGAGAATGCCACAATCGAATAACGAATAATATCTCGCATATTCAGCACTGTCAAAATAACTTTTATCTCCTAGACTCATGGTTGTAATTCGATTCCGTTATTGCCATTAAGATTTGGTGTCGAAAGTTGATAAGGTCATGTGTAGTTATGACTGCTAGAATGCTGACTAAAACATTGTTCTCCGAAGCTTCAAAACGAAAGTGAAAATGCATGCGAAATAAAGCGACGCGAGTGTACACAGGTTAAATGATCACCAGTCCTTCACTGTTGACAATGGCTGTAATTTTCCTCGGCGGACGATTAGGACTTTAGGGACAGTGTCTTGGAAAACAATTCGCCTTTCATTTTCCTGGTCTGTCCATTCTCACAGGCGCTCCAGTTGTGACCCATAGGTCACCGCAGTTAGTGATGCCAATTTTCCGACCGGAAGAAAATGGTCATATTAGATACACACTATGCTATCACATCGCAAAATCGCCCCATAATTCCACTCTGAAGTCTACCATCAAGGCGGAAGCCCGCAATCAACTTTATCACCGGCGAATCGACAAGTCGGTCGTGGGGCTGAGCTATTTTCACTTTTACCGATCCTCACGTCCCTGATTTCTCGTCGTTTCGCCTTGATTGCTGGCAGGACGCAGGGTTGGTCGGGGAGATGGTCGCCAATGTCCTCCCATGGCCGTCCTCTCCTCTTCCCTGTCCCTCCCGGAGAGGAGGGACAGACAGAGATCGAGAGCACGGACGGACGGACGGTGTGAAACTGGCCGACGGACCCGGACAATGGGAGTGGAACAAACGGCCGCGAGCCGGCACTGTCCGGCCAAATCACCAATAAATCTGGGAAGAGAAGTGTGCTAGTTACGGAGCGAGCGAAGCGAGCGGAGTCTTACGTAGAATAACGGAAATTTCTGAGTATGAGCGGCCGGCCGGCCGGCCGGCCGTGGTCACGCTTTTGCGAGGCTTATATCTCAGCAACCACTTGACCGATTTACATGCGGTAATTTTTGTGGGGTAGCTTCATTCCTTCTACCAAGTATTGGACTATTCCCGATGCATGTGGGTGACCCCTTATGCACGTGCCACGTGCAAAACGAAGAGGTGTCACTTTTGTAATTGTTGCAATATCTCGGTAACTACTTGGCCGATTGCGCTGAAAGTTGGCATGTAGGTAGGCACCCACTAGGCACTGCATATCCATGTGCCAGAGTTGGGGTGCTGCTGCACGTGCGCACGTGCAGGGGTCGTTTCCAGATCTCGAGAACGGCTGGACCGATGGCGCTCAAATTTGGTACATGGTTAGGGACCGGTTAGTAGGGTGCCGTGCAAAAGTCAGTTGGGACCCATTTTGCACGTGCGCACGTGCAGGGTGCCGCTTCCAGATCTCGAGAACGGCTGGGCCGATTGTGCTCAAATTTGGCACATCGCTAGAGACCGGTTAGTAGGGTGCCGTGCACAAGTCAGCCGAAGGTACCCCCTCGAAATTTCGCACGTGCAAGACTCACCCTCTCGCTCGCTCCGTTAGTCGCCCCAAAAGGCGCTATACTGGTTGGGATAGGAGGTATGCTGTACTAGGTCGAATAGCAGCGGTGGCCAGGATTATTCTCGCATGTGAAGGCTCTTTCGATCCACAAAAGCGTGTTTCACCGAATGCTTGCTTTATCTCTCTGAACAAAACTCCACATACATTCAAACTCACATGACTTCTAGACACTAGAGCATTTATCGGCTATGTTGACTTCGGTGTGCTCGCTCATGTTTTGTTGGCTAGCCAGTTGAAGGGAAAGGACCCTGAAGATGTTTAGCTGCCTTATTTTTAAGTATGTAGATATCCGTTATCTTTAATCATTTGACCCCCATTGCCGCAATGTTGCAAATGTCGGCAATTGTCAGTGTTGCTGTCTTATGCGCTAATGCAGTCTCCAAGAAACTGTGCTACTGTCCTATGCGCTAGTGCAGTCTCCAAAGCTCTGAGTTATTTTCTTATGCGTTGATGTAGTCTCCAAGAATTCGTGTTACTGTTCTATGCGCTAGTGCAGTATAATACTTTGTTTAGCTGTTCCATGCGCTGACACATGGTCTCAATTTTTGGTGGTGCTGTTTTAAGCGCTAATGGAGTCTCCAGGGCTCTGTTATTTTCTTGTGCGCTAATGTAGTCCCCGAGACTTGATGCTACTGTTCTATGCGCTAGTGCAGTCTCAGTGCTTTGTGCAGTGTTTAGCTATTTTATGCGCTGATGCAGTCTCCAAGACTCAGTGCTACTGCCCTACGCGCTAATGCAGTCTCTCCGATTTGTCGAACATATTCAAGGCTACGTATGCCACTCTTGTTTTGCGTACACAGGAAAACACCCGTCAACACACCATTGTTACCCGATTAACATGTCCCCCTGAAGGAAAACACGCCCCGGGGCCGCCTCTGCCGTCCACTGCCGCCACTCCACTGCTCCGTCCGCAGCGCGGAGCCGCCCGGCCGGGTCGGTTTCACTTGTCCGGGAGGGAAGGTGCCGGCGCGATTTATGGGTTCAGTTCCGCCGCCCCCCAGCCAGTCTAAAGTAACGTAACGAACAGCTCCATCTGCTGGGGTGTGATGTAACAGACATGTGCAGCGGTCACGCTGAGTGACTACAAAGAAGTAAGTACATTAGGTATAGGTACGGGCATAGAAACATTTCGTACGAATGTTTCCGGGACGCCTTTCCTGCTGTTCAGATGTCTTTTTAGGCGCCCAGCGCAGCCATCCGCACTACACATATTTCTCATCTGATGAGGTTGTATGGAATTTTGTAGCACCCAAATGCCTCACGTAATTCTGAAGCCAAGATGAAATTAACGCGAAGCATCTGAAACAATGCAGCAATAGCTAAAAAAAATATTCCATGACGTCTAGAATACTAAAAAGCTCATTAGAACTTCAAAATGCATAAAGATCAAACAATGATGTTTTCCAATGGAGAAATAGGACTACCGGACTGCGATACACAGGTGACAGAGACAACACCCCGGTGCTAAGTGGCTGCCTCTGGCTCCCCCACACCACTGAGTCACTGGATCATATACGTGGGTGGTAGCCGCTATCCCCGTCCCACCTCTCTCTCTCAGCAGGCCTCTCGCCACCTCAAATGGCCGCGCGAGGGCCATCGGGGCGGGCCGTGCCCGTCTCCAGCGCACCGCGCCCGCCCGGGCACTTCTCACCTCTGGCCCTGCGTACTGCCATCGTGACCCGACCGAATGACACGCGGCCGTTACCAGCCGGCTATCCGCCCACATTGCCCGCCACGATTGGTCAATTCAGCCGCTTTATTTCATTCCGTGGCGCTATATCGGCGCCTGAATGGACTTTCTCCGCGGGCATTGTGCAAACGTCGGCATCCCCCCGGGCGTTGTTGATCGGTGCTGTTTGGTCGTCACGGGCAGTGCATCATCCGCGGCCGGGGCGGGGAGGGAGGGGCGCCGGCGCAGTTTGGGCACCGGGGAGGGAGGGCGCCCGCGCGGTGTGAGCGCGGGCGTGGCACACCGTCCGTCCGCCCGGCCGCTCCATCTGTCAGCGCGGCGCCCTTTCAATCACGGCCCTCGTTGCCGCCGCGGTTTTCACGCCGGCCTGCCGGGACGAACGCTAATGGAGCTAATCTGTCCGCATCTACGGCGGCAACAAAGCCGCGCCGTGCGCCGTGCGACCCGGTGACCTGACCGATCTGGGCCGGCCGGCCTACAAAGGAGACTGGCGCGCTAACAAACGCACTCGCCGCGCACAGCCGCGCAGAGGGCCGGCCGCACATCGGTCCACGTCGACCGGCACACATCGCCAACAGGATCTGTTCAAAGCGGCCAGAGACGGCGCGCCGAGCGCCTTATCAAATCGACCCGGAACGACAAGAATACGTGTCATGTGATACACTTGATAGAAACGCCGAAGACAAAGACGAGCGCGTGAATCCGGATAAGACGCGTTGGTTCTAAGTCATGAATTTAGCCGATGGGCAGACCCGACATTCGTAAATGTAAGAGCCTTACCTACGCTTCTATTCCCGAGCAGCAGTCTCGGCTGGCCAGGCAGCGTGAGCAAGCCACTGCAATCACGAACTGTGTATCGGCACCCGTGGTGTCACGGTTCGTGATCGTGAGCTGGAGCGTGACGCCAAGGCTGCTGCAGCCGCCGCTCCGTGACGACTCTATTCTGAGTGACGATTGACGAACGCCAGTCGGGCAGAGAGTGACCCTGGTCCATGCCGTAACTTTGACGGAAGTCAAAACAGCCAAGGCTGTAGCTGTTGAACCTCGACGGGGCTCATTGTCGGACGGTTTCGACAGATGGCTGAATTTTGACGGAACAGAACGGTGGATTATTTGGCGTTGGATGCTTCATTCCAGAGGATGTGCGGGTTTCAGGGCCGAATATTTCCATGTCCATTGCGAAT